AAAAGCAAAAATTCTCAAAGTAATACCAAGTTTAGATACCCTGTTGTCTCAATTTTGATACCATTGTCCTCATTGTGTTGCAAGTATCCAATTAGAGTTATCTTTTTATTTAATTATTTTGTTTTAACACTTTTAGGGCATTGGGAGCTATTACCTAAGTCTAGGACTTTTAATTTTATCTTATTCCTTTTCTTGTGTCCAATTTTTAACAATTTGACAAAACCGTCAATGATCTTACTTTTAACTTTCCTTAATTGTTATAAATGAAGTGTTGCATTTTTTGATAACTAAGTTAACAGTAAATATTGTTTAGGAAGAGTGAGAATTGATCTGATAGAAATTTATGTTGCCCTGTGTTTACTTTGTCAGACTCTATTTATCAGCAGCCGAATTTCCGGACAATCGCGGCCTCTTGGTTCAGGCAGGCGCTGGCAAAGCTTGCCTCTTGCTCGCGTTTGATTCAAACACACAAAAGGGCCAGTGTGCTGCTGCTCAGACCCTTGCTCGACTCGCAATTTCTATGGATCCCCGTGTCGCATTCCCTGGTCAGCGTTCCCTTGAAACGGTGCGCCCTATTCTCCAATTGCTTGCGGCTGAATGCACTGGTCTTCAAAACTTTGAGGCACTTTTAGCTCTTACTAATCTTGCCTCCCTGGACAATACGCACAGGTATTTGCGGTTCTTGCTTTTGTTGTTTGTTTTTGGTACCATTAGTATTTAGTTAGTTATTCAGGATAACTGGGTGGGGCCTAGTTTGGTAACCAAAGTTAATATTTCTAGTATTGACTTGGCCTCGTTTTCGCAATCTGATCGGAGCGAATGAGAGATCTTGTGAAATGCACATAGTCATACCTCCTCTAACAAAGTATTCCTGATGATTTCCATCATCGGACCGTTGAATCAGTACATTCAATGGCGTTTTGCCGGCTTACTGAGAAGCGCCATCCCTATTACGTCTTTACAACTTAGCAAAATGGAGGCAATCCAATTGACCAATTTTCTTTTCAATCGTTAAGGCATTATTCTTCGCCCTTGTTGTTCTGGCTGCTAGTGATGCATTTTCTTATTTCAATCCCACTTCATATGTCCTATTTACCTATTCACACCATTCTGAATTATCATTTCTCTCGTAGCCTGAAAGTGTCGCTTCAAGTTGATTTTTTTAAACATAATCACTTTCGCAACCGGTTTCAGATCCTGTTCGCAGGATTTCTAGTTAATGGCCTCTGACTTTTATTTAATCCTCCTCCACCGCGTTTGTCATTTGTTCGTTTATACACATTAAAATCATTGTTTAGCTGTCTTAAATCTGGCTGCCCACGAGCCTTCAATCCCGGTCCCCTTTACCTGATATTAACAGATTTAACCTGGTTATTCTAATCTCTAAGTATCTTATTCTTCCTAGGCTTTAGACTAACATCCAGTTAGCCTCTTTCTCATACTCATTTCATCTTACCTCATTCTCTAGGGCCATGTTTCTGGCTTGATTCGGAACCGCTGGTGTGAAAATGAAACGCTTCCTTTACCCACTCTTGAATTGCGTAAATCAGTCCCATCTAATCCTAAGGCTCTAGTTAGTTATACATGTAGACGTTGGTTGGTTATCTCTCTAGTGAGGCATGCCACCAATCATTTCTCACTAAATCCACCTTAAGCCACGCAATCTTAGGCGACTGGAGGAAACAAGATTACAATGGTGTGAATAGGTAAATTGATTTGGATAAAAGTAGGGAGGAGTAATGATGCCACGACTATTGAACAGAAAATTGGTCGTGGGGATTGTTATCATTTGTCACTGATAAGTTGTAACTCTGAGCTAAGAATGGCATATCTCACTGACGCTGTTGGCGAAACGTCTGGGAATGTACCAAATCAACTGTCCGATTCTGTAAGTCCTCATGAATACTAAGGCAGAGGAAG